ATGGCGAACCTATGACACGCGTGTCAGAGGTGACACGCGAACTCATCTTTTTGGTTGATTTTTCTTTGTTAAATGGCATTTAAATATATAAAATAAATATCAAAAATATGTCTTTGTTTTACTATGGTTGCAAATATCAAAAAATTTCTATATGTGACACGGCACCAGAGTTAAGTTAGGGTTTTTCAAAATGCTGACACGCCGAGCTCAAAAGGTTCGCCATCACTGCCCTAGAATGTGCCACCCTGGCGCGCAAATTCTTTCAAGCTGAAAGCAATGAATGCCCGACAAACTCAGGAAAAGTTGTTTGCCTCCCCCTTCCTGCCTGAAGAGATTCGGTTAGAAAAGCCAGCTTCAGGAAGGAACCCTGTGCATATTCACCTTAGTACATGTGAATGAAGTGTGGCTGCCAGGGAGGGTCCAAGCAAGAGTCTGTTCTGCCAGATCCCCTTTGGTCCCATTGATTCTAGGGGGCCCTGCAACAAATTGTTTGCCAAATGTTTACTCTTTCTCTTTTACCTATGAATTGTCTATCTTCCCTTCCTTAGTCCAAAATGATGTATATACCTATTTTTCCTCACTGTCTTTGGAATTTCCATGCTTATGTGAATTCCCCGTCTCTATATATAAAAGGCTAATATGCAAAGTGTCTCCTCAGGAGTTCAACTGGGAGTTTGAACACTAACTATGACGTGTGCTGACCACCAGAGGGCGGCACGGAATGAAGGAAGGCTCTGGCCAGCAGCCGGAAGGCCCCGATAGGCCCTGATCACCAGCCAGGCCTAGGGACCCTACCTGTGCACATATTTCGTGCACTGGGCCTCTAGTGTGTCTATTACATTTTGATTTTTCTCCTCTATGTCTCTTGTATGTATTCCTGCTGTATGTCGCTTGAATTATTCGACCAGGCAGAGGAACTAAAGGGGTGAGGGGAGTCAGAAGAAGTAAAGGGGTGAGGGGAAAGTTTCCCAGGCCCAGACACTACTCTAAGATTACTCTTAGCCAGGGTGTCGTTGAATGATTTCTAATATAAAGGCTCCAACTTTTTAATAAGCATGTAGCTCAGGGACACCATCTTTCTAAAGAATTGGCTTCTGGAGTGGGAACAGGCCCAGATGATTTCAGACTTGACAGCAGGGATCTGCACAGCTAAGAACTTTATTCCTCCTGCTCTGTCCTCCTTGTTAGGTCCTCACTGAAAGAAAGGAGCCAGGCCAAGAGACGTTGTGAGAGTTTAAGAAATTTTATTTCATTCTCTCACAGCGGGCTGAGACCAGTGTGCCGGTGTCAGCCCTGAGGAGATAGTTAAGTTCTCTTATATAGAGTAGAAGTATGCAATATAGGGTCAGGATGTAGGTGCATGAGTAGGTCAAGCAGCGGGGAGGGCAGGAGTTGGTCAGGGGAGTCAAGGGAGGAGAGTGTAGAGGTTGGCCAAGAGAAGGGCGTTCCATCTTATCTTGCTTCTGCAGGCGCCAGCCGTCTGCTCCAAGCTGTGGGAAAAGGCTTATAACAATATATATTTCAGAAAACATGTCCAAGCAGGAGAGATTAAGGGTACTTCATCTACCACTCCTTTAGTCTGGAAACACATTTTACATGCTGGTCTCACAGGTGGAAGCTGCCACGGCCTTTGAGCCAATGATAATGCAGGTGTTTAGACCTGGTCAGCCCATAGGATAAATTTCAGATTAAGTGGTTATTGTTGAGCATTTTTGTAGCAGAGTGAAATGCTGGCTTTCTTTGACTCTATCTTAATCCTAGCCTGCATTTTTCTTTTGGCCTGCAGGCCAATAGCTTCTGCTATAGATATGTTGATTAGAAGAATTCTGCTTGAGGCTTGAGGTTTTGTAAGAACAGCCCTTTGTCAGAGGTGCCTCTCCAGAAGAGGTGGGGAAATATGTACAAAATTATGACTGTTTATCAAAAATTTGCAAGATCCTCAAGACTGGACTCAGATCAGCAGGGGTCAATGGACTGGGAACTGAAAGGTTTAGAGATTCTGCATGCTCTTCCTTGGATCTCTGATGGTACCTAGATGTCTGTATTCATCACTGACCTCTTGCCCCACTCATTCTCCCTTCCCCTGACATAAAAGAAGCTGGAATTCTGGGCTCTCTTAAGACTGATTGGAAGAAGCCCTAAGGCCCCACATCTTCTCCAGTGAACTCTGACAGTGGTTTTTTGTTTGCTTGTTTTAATCCTTGCCCAAGGATATTTTTCCATTGATTTTTAGAGAGAGTGGAAGATGGAAAGACAGAGAAATATAGATGTGAGACAAACACATCAATTGGTTGCCTCCGGCTCTAGCCCTGATCAGGGCCGGAGCTGGGGAGGAGCCTGCAACTGAGGTACATGCCCTTGACAAAAATCGAACCCAAGACCCTTCAGTCCTCAGGCCGATGCTCGAACCTTTTGAGCTCGGCGTGTCAGCATTTTGAAAAACCCTAACTTAACTCTGGTGCCATGTCACATATAGAAATGTTTTGATATTTGCAACCATAGTAAAACAAAGACTTATATTTTTGATGTTTATTTTATATATTTAAATGCCATTTAACAAAGAAAAATCAACCAAAAAAATGTCATAGGTTCGCCATCACTGCTCTATCCAATGAGCCAAACCATTTAGGGCTGAACTCTGACAGTTTAAATATTGACCTTTGATGTGTTGGGCACATAGACTTTGAATTACACAGTTTCATCTTTTTTGGGAATTTCTCACGACAGCCATAAACTGTGGTGCCATCCTAATTTTATATACAGGGAACCCGGGGTCAGGGGAGTGGCTTCATTCATTTCCAAAGGGTAACGGACACCATCTGTATGCCAGGAACTAGGAATCCAGCCCTGGGTTGTGGGTTCAATTCCCAGTAGGGGGCATGCAGGAGGCATCTGAGCCATCATCCTCTCTCTCTCTCTCTCTCTCTCTCTCTTCCCCCTTCCTCTCTCTAAAAATCAGTAAAAACATATTTTTAAGAAAATAAAATTTGATAGTTATTACCAAATTAATTTCCTTTTTTTTTTTTCCTTAACCAATTCGTCTATATATGAGAGTGAGGAACTGGCCCAGAAGTCTAGTGTCTGGAAAAGGGGAAGCTCAGTCCTAGTAGAAAACAGTATGAGCAGAGACAGTGGACTATGTGCTTCTTGAGATTAGGGATTGTCTAGCTCATATTTGTTCAACAAATATTTATTGTGCCCTTACTAAGTGCTTCCGGACAATGGACATACAGTGACAATGAACATAATGTGCATGGCATTTTAAAAACATATATATGTTTATTGATTTCAGAGAGGAAGGGAGAGGGAGAGAGGGATAGAAACATCAATGATGAGAGAGAATCATTTATCAGCTGCCTCATGCACACCCCACACTGGGGATCGAGCCTGCAACCTGCCTGACTGGGGTTTGAACCGTGACCTCCTGGTCCATAGGTCGATGCTCAACCACTGAGCCACACCAGCCAGGATTGGCATTATTGAAGTAAGCACACAAAATGAAACTATAGTAACAAGCTATAATAAGAGCTATCAGGAGAAAAATGGGGTGCTATGGGAAGGAATAATACAGTCCTTCATAGAGCGGGTTTCCTAAAGAAATTGGAGTGGTAGGTAGAGCCAGGGCACTAAAGCCTTTTGAACCACTGAAGGGTTTTAAGGGAGATGTTAATCTGGTTTACATTTTTTGCAGATCCCTCTGGCTGGGAGGAACAGGATTAGAGCAGGAGCAAGAATGCAGGTGTGAAAACCAGTTAGAAGGTTTTTGCAGGACAGGAGAGAGATGGTAGAGGTTGGTCTAAAGTGCTGGAGGAGGAATCTATAGATTAAGAGTCTCAAAAGATGTATCGATCAACTGCAATGTATGGACCTTATTTGAATCCTGATTTTATTTTTTACTGTAAAAAAAAGATCATGAGACAATTGGAAATTTGAACACAGGCTATTTGATATTAAGGAGTTAAAGTTTTTTGTTTTGTTTATTTTTTTGGTTATTTATTTACTTTTTCTTTTTCTTTTTTTCTTTTTTCTTCCTTTAATTTTTATTAGTGTGTGTGTGCATTGGAGCAACTGAGCAACACTGGCCAGTGCAAATGTCAGACAGTTTAGGACAGGCTTCCCGCTCAAGTGGGGCTTGTGTTGAGGCCCCTGTTTAGAAACGGCTGCTAGACTCTGGTTTTTCTGGTGGTGGTGGTGGTGGTGTAGTATGTGTGTTTAATTTTTGAGCGCAACAGCCACTAGGAGTCCTTCAAACTATGAGGATTTAGAATCTTTATTTGCATGAGATTGGAAGATCAGGCAGGTATTTTCTTTCTCGGGGGTGGACACTAGGTACTAGGAATACAACAGCAATGAGTAAGCCATAGTCAAACTTCACTCACATGAAGTTTATCTTATAGAGGAAGACACATAATAAGCAAAGAAACAAGATAATTTCAATGATAAATATTGTGAAGAAAATAAAAATGTATTGTAATGATGGAGCTGGACAACATGTTCTAGGTAGGGTGAGCGATGACTATTGCGCTAATGAGGGAGCCAGTCATGAAAAGCTTCAGGTGCGGGGGAAGAGTGATCCAGGGGGAGACAACTGTAATTGCAAAGACCCTGAAGAGAAAACAGAGTGCAGGAAACATTTAATGCAGACTCAGCGGAGGACCTGATCACTTATGCCATGAAAACGCTTGGATTTTATTCTAACTGCAATCTCAAGTCTGATTGATGTTGTTACAAGATCACTACGGCTTCTTTGGAAGAATGCATGAAATACTTACTATATTCAGAGTCTAAAATACTTGTAAAATATTTCAGTCACATTTCTTGGCTACCTCGTGAACCTCCGACATCCACACGGGGCGCTCTAGTCGCCCGGTCGACAGAATGTGATGCTCAGCACTCTATGGTTCTTTTAGAGAAATCGGCCGCTTCCGGGAGCGGCGGTGTCCTCTCTATCCGCCCGTCTCTGTGGTCGTCGGGGCCCCGCCCCGCCCTGGGCCCCGCCCCGTTCTGGGCGGCCGTGCGTTCTGCCCTCCTCGGACTCTGCCCGATCCGACCCGACGCCGGGGCAGCCGGGCTCCGGGGTTGGTCGGGATCTGGGTCATGGCGGTTCGGGGGCCCGCACCGGGGGTTGGCGCCAGGTGAGCAGGGCGGCTGGGGAGGAGGGTCGGGCCTCGGGGCGTCCTACCCGGGGCTGTGTGGGGCAGGGGCTCCGCTCAATTCCGCTCTCGTGCGCGGCGCTGGGAGAGCCGCCGCCCGAAGGGGCGCCCACCTCCGCTCGGATCCGTGGGCGCCCTCCAGCTTCGCGGGAACGTCTGTCATCGCCTGCAGCCGGGGTGTGGGATCCGCTCCCTGGGAGCTGGCTCTTCCTCTCCTCCCTCCCTCCCTGCTTTTCTCTCACCTCAAGTGCACGGAATTGAGTAGTTCACCCTGCTCGGTTCTTGGCACACTGTGGCCCATGTTGCATTTATCATCTTTCGTTCCTTTAGTCTCAAACCCCTTTCACTCCCCTTCCGAGACGCACACATTGGTGTATCTTCAGGGAGTGTCTTTACCGCCCACTTTACCTAGGTTTGCATATATGTTACCTAGCAAAATAGTGGTTTGGAATTCATCTAAATGATAATACGCCGTGAGCTTTTGGAACACTTTTTACCCAACAGTGTGTTTTTGAGATCATGTATGCTGTAGTAATCTAGTTTTCTCCTCTGGGTACGCCTGAGTACATTAGATCCCATTTTGCTTATATATTCTCCTAGTGATGGACACTTAGATGACTTCCTTTTTTTTTTTTTTAAAGAGAGAGAAACATTGATTTGTTGTTCCACTGATTTATGCATTCATCGACACATTGGTTGCTTCTTATATGTGCCCTGGTGGGAGATCGAACCTGCACCCTTGGTGTCACACACTGTGACCAACTGAGCTTCCAACTTTTAACCACCACAAACCATGCCGGCACTGGTCTCCTGTGGGCAGGGGTGGTTTTCTCCGATTATCCATCCCATGCTGGGTCATACCTATGCTACTAAGTTGTTCTCTGGAATGGTCACACCAGGTTATACTTCCCGAGGGCATGGAGTCAAGGCCCTTGTTTCCCCGTATCTCCCCCCACCCCCGAAAGGTTTGATATTGTTTGTTTTTTTTATTGTTTACCGAGTGTAAGGTAGTATCCCATTGTGTTAATTTTCATGTATTAAGCACTTTTTCTCTTTTTTTGTTAATCCTTACCTGAGAATATTTTTCCATTGATTTTTAGAGAGAGTGGAAGAGAGAGGGAAAGACAGAGAGAAACATCGATGTGAGAGAAACACATCGACTGGTTGCCTCCTGCACATGCCCTGACCAGGGCCCGGGCGGGGGAGGAGCCTGCAACCAAAGTACATGCCCTTGACCGGAATTGAACCTGGGACCCTTTGGTCTGCAGGCCACGGTCTATCCACTGAGACAAACTGGCTAGGGCAGTGGTCGGCAAACTCATTAGTCAACAGAGCCAAATATCAACAGTACAACGATTGAAATTTCTTTTGAGAGCCAAATTTTTTAAACTTAAACTATATAGGTAGGTACATTGTTATTAACTTAATTAGGGTACTCCTAAGGCTTAGGAAGAGCCACACTCAAGGGGCTAAAGAGCTGCATGTGGCTTGAGAGCCGCAGTTTGCCGACCACGGGGCTAGGGCATCTGAATTGCCTATATCCTTTTCCTATTTTTTTATGGATTTCCTGTTTTCCTGACTTGCAGGAATTCCTTGTATGTTCTGGATTTTAACTCCTTGTTGGTTTTACACTGCGCAAATACCTTCTACAATTCTTTAACTTAATCTTTGGCATTGTATTGAACAAAAATGTTTCATTCTTAGTTAAATTCATTTGTTTCCCCCTTTACGGTTTGTGGTTTTGGGGTCTTATTTAAGAATTCCCGGATCTGGTCCTAGCTGCTTTGGCTCAGTGGATAGAGCACTGGTCTGGACTGAAGGCCACATGCCTGGGCTGCAGGCTCGATCCCAAGTGGGGGGCATTCAGGAGGCAGCCAATCAGCAATTCTCATCACTAATGTTCCTATCGCTCTCTCCCTCTCCCTTCCTCTCTGAAATCAGTAAAAATATATTTTTAAAAAGAATTGCCAGCACGCTATCGCTCCAGGGAGCACGCCTATGCCATTCCCTTCCCACTCTCCTTTCCCCATATGAGACTTGCAACCAGGGAAGCAATGGTCAGCAGCAGCTCATCCCAGGCTAACCCCCTGAACCTGTCTCCAAAGCCCCCTTTCCCCCTTTTTCTCTGACTTCCCAGCGAACCAACGCAGCCCAGCGTAGGCGCTTCTATTGCTTTTTCTGTGCCCTTCCTTGTTTCACTGCCCTAGGAATGTTTTTGCTGCCGTCAATAAATTCTTGCTTGCTTTTCTAAAAAAAAAAAAAAAAAAGAATGAATTGCCTTCCCACTATATCTTCATTGAGATATTCTACATTTCCTTATATTAACTAAATACTAATGTTACTTTTCACATTTAAATTTTTAATCCATTTGGAGTTGTTAGAGTTTATTTTTGTAAATGATTTAAGGTAATGACCTAAATTTTCCTCCACCATTTTCAATTAATAAGTAATGAATTAATTAACAATTAGAGAAGCTGTGTAGCATAGTTATGAGCACAGATTCTTAGAGCCCGGCTGCCTGTGTTCAAAACCCAGTGCTGCCACTTACCAGGTGGGTGGCAGGGCAAGTGCCTCAGTTCCTCATCCATAAAAAAGGATATAGTCTCTATAGCTTAAAGCTGTGACAGTTAAATGGATTCATACATGTAGGACGTGTAGAACAGTACTGGGTACATAGTACATGTTTAATCAGTGTTGACAACTATTAATATTAATATGTTCTTTCTTGTGATGTATCCTCTATTATGAGCCCATGTAAACATAGGTCTATTTTTTTATTTTTGGGTCTCTATTCCATTGCTCCCCCCACCCCATTGCTTTTTTTGTTCCTGTATCAATAACACATTTTTGTCATTACTACAGTCCTGTAATATATGATATGTCTTTATAACCTGATGACTTGGGTCTCTTCCTCCTCCTTTCGTATTCTTCACAATTGTCCTAAGCTATTCATGGACTTTTATTTCCATATAAAGTTTCTCAGAGAAGTCCTGTTTTTGACTGGTATGTTAAATTTATAGACTATGTTTGTTAGAAATGAGGTCTTTATAATGTTAAGTCCTGCCAGCTCTTCTTTATTTCACATCCTATAATAGAGTTTTTGGTTTTCCTCCAAAATTTCTTATATATTCTTTTTTTAAAGTAAATTCCTGGATAGTTTATAGGTTTTCTATACTTTTCTTAGTTTTATAAATGACACTTTCTTTACATTTTCCAGTTGGTGATAGTTAGTATAGAGTGCTCTTAATATTTGTTTGTTAACCCTATATCTAGCTTAATTCCTTTTATTAACAACATTTTATTTACTTATTTGCTTGTGTTTCCTATGTAAATGTTCACTCATCTACAAATAATGACAATTTAATCTCTTCCCTTTCAATCCTCCTACCTCATTTCTTTATCCTGCTTTATTCCTTCAGCCAGGACCTTGAAATCCTTGATGAAGTGGGCTTCCTTGTCTTGTTTATGGCCATAAAGAGGATGTGGCTAAAGTTTATTAACTATGTTTTCTTTACTGTAAATAACCTTTTATGGCATTATTCAACTTAAAGAAATTTCTTTCTATCCCTGTTCCCACCCTACCATCTGCATGGCTTGAACATTGAACACTCCACCCCTTGGCCCCAGAACAGTGTAGCTAAGCTTGGTATCTGCTCTCTAAGGCTCAGTTGCCCTCTTAAGTTTCGCTCTGCTTCTCCTTCTATTCTTCAGGCCCAGATTAGATCTGCAGTTTCTCCAGCGGTTCCTGCAGATACAAAAGGTTTTGTTTCCCTCTTGCTCATCACAGAATGCCTTGATGTTCCTGACCCTTTTGGGTGTGGCCCTCCTGGGTGAGTGAGTGGGTCCAGGCTGGACGGGGGAGGGCAGTCCTGGTTTGGGGTCCCTTTCCTTCTCTCTGGGGTGTTGATGAGGCAAGGACTCAAGAGGAAGCCTTCCTCCTTTCCCCACCCCTCATCACTGATGTCTGACTCCTCTCCCTCCCCCCAGAACAACTGGTGATCTACCAGGTTGGCTTGATCCCCAGTCAGTACTACGGGGTCCTGGGAAACAAAGACTTGGATGGGTTTAAGGCCCTGACATTCCTGGCTGTTGTGCTCATCGTTCTCAACTCCATGGTAAGGTCTCGCTGTGTCTCTTTCTCTCCAGCCTGGTGTGAGTGGAGTGCCCAGTGTCACTTAGTCCCTAGGAAGTAGGCATCAAGCTGTGGGTGTGTGTCCCCTGCCTTTTCTAGGAACCCTAGGTAGGGCGTTGATCTTGCTATTGGCCCACTGGGGCCAATTCCTCGAGTGTTTCAAGCTCACAGGCCTAGGCCACGAGGTTCTGGTTTAATTCAGCACTTAGCGGAAATGGTCATTGTTCTTTTCATTCCCAGAACTCTTGCTTCAGGATCAGCAGCCAGAGCTGCTGTTCCCCTGGGACCGAGGCTGTGACTCAGCTGGCTCCGTGTCACACCTCCCAGCTTTTGCACCTGCTGTTTTCCTGCAGAGTGACCTCCTTCCCCCACCTCTCGCTTACTTGGTTCATGCCTGCTCACTTTTCAAGGTGCCTCACCTTCAAGTCCTCCTCAGCTTTCTCGCCCATGTTTCCTCCACCAGACTCTGTCCTTTTCTCTTCATGCTTAATACTTTGAGTTGCCCTCTGCGGTGACACTCCTGACACCCCCGTCATTGTCTGCTCCCTGGCTAGACTGAGCTCACTGTTACTTCCCCCGTGCTTAGCAAACAGGTGCCACATAAATGGGGGTGATGAGAGTCGGGGCTCTGTTAGGACTCCGTCAGGCCATACTGCTCGTTTTCTTGGTTCTTAGGGAAGCCATCCCATCACACTTTGGCACTTTTGATGTGTCTTCGGTCAGTAAGTACCTGTGTATACAGAGCCCTGTTCCATGTTTTGGGACAGAAAAGTAAGACCATAAATGGAATAGAAAATATTGTTTCCAATCTCCAGAAGCTCACCTACTCTCAGATGAAGGCAGTACACTGTAGAAAGGGACTAGAGGGCCTTGCCTTTGGTAAGCCCTTGGCTATTTGGTGAAGGAATGAACATGTGGGTGAGTGAGGAAGGAGAAAGTCCCGTGACTGGTGGCTTTAAACAAGAGGAAGTGCTGAGTGGGCAGAGCCATTGGAGTGGCCTGGGCCTGGTCAGCAGATGCTTTCTGAGCTTCGAGCTGAGACCTGCAGGAAGCCATTCTCCCTTTCCCTCCCTTCCCCTGCCTCCCCCACTGCACAGCTGAAGAGCTTTGACCAGTTCACCTGCAACCTGCTGTATGTGAGCTGGAGGAAGGACCTCACCGAGCATCTGCACCACCTCTACTTCCGCGGCCGCGTGTACTACACCCTCAACGTGCTGCGGGATGACGTCGACAACCCGTAGGCCTCCCCGCTCAGCCCTCACTGCCCTCTCATGGTTCTGTCTTCCTGGATCAGCCCCGGGGAGCTCCTGCGGCAGATCCCTTGGAGATTATCCACAGTTACCTGCACATGTTGATAAGAGCCAGGGGGGCAGGGTGCTCTGCAGAGGAGGCCTGGACAGGCTGTAGGGCTGAGAACAAGAAGCTAAAAATAGGAGCAGCTCCTTTTGTTCATTTCATATCCTGGGCTTCCAAATCAGGCCCCTCTGAAGAGAGTGTCCTTGCTAGAAAAAGCTAGAAAACCAGCTTTCAGATTTCTAGCGGTAAAAAATTGCTGTCTAGGATTTAAATCTGTATACTGTCACCTCCCAGTTAATAGGCCTTAAGTTCGCTAAGCCCCAGGTTCCCTTTCTGTAAAATGAGGAGAATACTTCCTATCTCAAAGAATGTAGTGAGGGTGAAAGGATGTCCGTGTAATACACATAGGCAGTGCCTGGGACGGAGCACGTGTCCCACTGTAAGCTAGCTGTTGTGATTTTACAGGTGAGGAAACGGGCCCAGAGAATGCAGGTGACTTGCCCAGCGTCACGTCTCATTGGAAATAGGAGTCAGTGTGGCTCTGGTGGTGCGATGGGACATATGGGGTCTCCGCATACTCATTCCCTCCCCACTTGGCACTCCCCTTCCCCCCGCAAGCACTTTTTTGCCTGAGATGACCTTTTCTCAGCTCGAGCTGAGCTCTGCAGCAACGATTTTGGGGAGGGTGCTGCTGCTTAACTCCGAGGCCTCTATGGCTCAACCCATAGAAGCTTCCACAGCCAGACAGCTCAAGTGGAGACAGGCTCATGCTCGTAAAAGAAATGGGAGGAGTGAGATAAATGGGATTGCTTCCCTGATCATCCAGAAACTCAGCTTATCTACCCTCACAACTGGACCAAGACCCTGGGGTGCTGGGCCTGCCGTTGTCCATTTTTCTGAGGAATAACCTGAGGCACCATAACAAGCAACTCTTCAGAACCCTGTTTAGGACCCTGGGGGTCTCGTTGCTTCTGGAAAACCAGCCCTTGTAGGGGTCCACTTCCCCTAGGGTCACTGGAGGGCGGAGTAACAAGGAACTGTCTTAGTCTCTCAACCCTTGAGCCAGCTCCCTGGGTCCAGTTACTCTGTGTGGTTGGTTCCAGGGACCAGCGCATCAGCCAGGATGTGGAGCGGTTCTGCCGGCAGCTCAGCAGCATGGCCAGCCAACTGATCATCTCGCCCTTCACCCTCGCCTATTACACCTACCAGTGCTTCCAAAGGTGAGGCCTCTCCTGCCACCGTCCCTCCTCCGCTCCTGACAGGTGTTTCCCCAGAGGCCCCTCGCTCACACCAGCTCTCCCGGGTCAGGGCCCGAAAGAGGCCAGTCTTCCCTTCCTCCCACCTGCATGCCAGTCTTTCTCACAAATGCCCGTGGGCCCCGTGTCACAGGGATCTGGTGCTCCGACAGCGTAGCCCGGGTACTAGATGCCACTGCACGGGAGCCAAGGCCTCACTGGGTGGCTGAGATCGAACAGGGGCCGCCTGGAAGGGGGCAGGCATCAGGGCCGAGGCCTGCGGGCATATGTGGCGCCCCCCCACCCCCACCATCCCCGTCTCTGCCTTTCAGCACAGGCTGGCTCGGGCCCGTGAGCATCTTCGGGTATTTCATCCTGGGAACCGTGGTGAACAAAATGTTGATGGGGCCCATTGTGGCGAAGCTGGTGCAGCAGGAAAAGCTGGAGGGGGATTTCAGGTGTGTCTCTGGTGTTGGAGGTTTGAGGGCTGGGCACAATGGTTAGGGAATGGGATCTGGAGTAAGGTGCCTGAGTTCAAATCCCAGCTATGCCAGTTGCTAGCATGTGCTCTTGGCTGAGGTCTTTAATCTCTGATTTTGGTTTCCCACCCTAAAACAGGGATGGTACTGCTGCTTATGAGGGAACTGTGAGGATTAACTGAGATTATACATGAGAAGCACTGAGAACAGTGTCTGGTTGGTTAACATCATCATACCTTGGCCTTCTCAGTGCTTCTGTTTTAACCACCTGTTTCAGATGAGCCGATGGATTCGTCCCCTACTCTGTGCTTCATGGACGCCTCCTTCAGGCCCAGCCCTGGGAGGAGGAGGGGCTGTGAGCACCTGTCCTCTCTGGAGATAGGCAAGGGGCCACCCTGTCTTTGGGGTTCCTGCCACCCTGCCTAGGCCTGGGACCCCCACTTCCCCCCCATACACATACCCCATGATAGTCCACAGGATTGGGGAAAAAGCTGCAGTTTTGAGGTGGAGCTGGACTCCCCTTTGTCTGGAGGTTTTGATCCAGGCCTCCGAAAGGGGCCGGTACTGTCCATTGTAGCACACATTTTCCTTTGGTCTCTCAGGTTCAAGCACATGCAGATCCGCGTGAATGCTGAGCCCGCTGCTTTCTTCAGGTGAGTTTAGTGGGAGTCGTTCCCTCTCCCTGATCAGGGCTGCCAGGGGAGAGGGCAGAGAAGGAGAGCTGAATGGTACAACCCTCCCACCATCACCGGGCCCTGGGGGCAAACGTCCTTCCACTGGGCTGTGATCCTCTCCCCGCATCTCACTGTCCTTGTCTGCCTCATCCTTTTTAAGCCCAGGGATTTGTTCCTCTCCGTGACCTAGCATGGGGCCTACATTTGTTCCAAGGATGAAATGAGTGAATGCCTTCTCGTCCAAAGCTGCGCTGTAGTCTAGGGGGGAGTGGGAGCCTCAGGAGGTTGGGAGTCCTGCTCCCTACACGCGCTGACCAAGTGAAGCTGTGTTCGGTCTCCTGGCAGGAGCATTGTGAAATCCCATTCCTTCCCTCAGGGCCAGGGAAGGCCTGTGCTGCCTCCTATGAGGCCGCGGGAGTCATTGGCAGGCAGGCCCAGAGGTTTGTGTGTAAGGAGGGGAGCTGTCTTGGATCACCTGAATTCGAGCCCTGGGACCTTTGCCCTTCTGCCAGTCTCTAGCAGTTTTCAGCTTCCACCACCTGGGGGCGCCAAGAATACAAGGACTGAGCTGGGGTGTGGTAGTGTGGTGGGGTGGGTCTGTGCTAAGTTTTGGATTCTGCAGCTTCTGCTCATGAAGCTTTGGGCTCTGGGGGAAGCAGGTTGGTTCTTGGAGCTCTGGGTGTGTGCGTTTGTAGCCTCTGTGCCCATCTTTAGTAAAATCTGAATGCCCCCTCTGCCCACCCCACCTTTTCTGCCTGTCCTTGAAGCCCAGGTCACCTCCTCCCGAGAGCCTTCCTAGGCTGCATGAGTGCCCAAGCCTGTTTGTTGCCAGAGCTTGAAGACGCTCTGTGTACGCACTTTCCATGTTCCAGGTGAAGAGGGCAGAGCATCTGCCCACCCTGAGCCGGGACTGTCTTACTGCCTCTGTCACACTGGCTGACTAGCACGGAGCCTGCCCCCTAGTGTCCTCCTCCTGTACTTTCCTTTAACAATAGCAGCTGTTATCTGTTGGGGTCCCTTCATGTGCCTAGCCCTTCGTATTCAGAAATTCTCACTCTAGCCTATTAGGTAGGTTATTACAAGCTCCATTTTACAGATGAGAAAATTGAGGCTCCTAGGCTTAAGTAATCAGTCTATCACCCAGCTAGTAACTAACCAGAGCCAGCGTTTGAACCACGTCTGGCCAATCGAGAGTTCAGGCTCTTTCTGCAGACAATACCAGGTTGAATGAGTGAAGTAATGAGTGGGTGCTAGTGTTAGGGTCAGAGGTGAAGATCATTCGGATGAGCTTAGTCCCCAAAGGAGGGTGTGATGAGGGACAGAGGGTCCCCGGCCTGGCTGAGGCTCTCCAGACCCCATGAACAGTCCAGCCTTTCTCATCAGAGCTGGGCATGTGGAGCACATGAGGACAGACCGCAGGCTGCAGAGACTCCTTCAGACCCAGAGGGAGCTGATGTCCAAGGAGCTCTGGCTGTACAGTAAGTAGAGGGAACCCGGGAGGCAGGAACCACAGGATCGGGATAGCCCCCTCCCTTCCCCTCCCTCCCCCCTCCCTCCCCCTCCCCTTCCCTCCCCCCTTCCCTCCCCTCCCACTTTTCTCCGCACTGATATGTTTGCTCTGCTGAAGGGATTAGCCAGGGGGGAGCCACTGCCTTCACCCTGTGTGTCCTCAGGAGCATGAAGATCCAGGGAGTAGCTTGGTCCTGCTCGGCTTTCCGCTCCCCTCAGAGCACAGGAATGTTCCAGGATCTCACGCAATATGTCTTCCACAGTGGGTATCAACACGTTTGACTATCTGGGCAGCATCCTGAGTTATGTTGTGATCGCAATCCCCATTTTCAGTGGCGTTTATGGAGACCTTAGCCCCACAGAGCTCAGCACCCTGGTCAGCAAGGTGAGAATCCCTCATGATGACCCCTCACGTTCCCCCTGCCATTGGCCCAGGGCCCCAGGCCTAGGGCCTGGGGGTCAAGGGCTGTGCTCACTGCTCCCCGTTCCATCCAGAATGCCTTCGTGTGCATTTATCTCATCAGCTGCTTCACCCGGCTCATCGACCTCTCCACCACTCTCTCGGATGTGGCTGGTTACACCCACAGGTGAGGCGGCATCCCACCTCTAGCTTCTGAACAAAGCTTGTGCACTGGGAGAAGTGGCTGAATGAGAAAAGCAGAAAAACTCCCCATTTCCTAGTGAGCATGAGAGAACAAGGCTTCTTACCTTGACCTGGGCCCCCAAAGCCCTGCCTCGGGTTATCACTTCTTGCCCAGGATTGGGGAGCTTGAGGAGACCCTGCTGGACATGTCCCTGAAGTCACAGGACGGCGAGCTCCTGGACGAGGGCGAGTGGGACTCACACAGGTGAGTCCTCGGTGGCAGTGTGTGCGCTGGTGAGAATTCAGGCTCTGGGACTGCCCAGCTGGGCAGCAGAGTTGTATGGAGCAAATGAAAGGAATCTGTGGCTTGTGCCTGGCACGTTGCAAACATTTATAGTAGGTGTTGCTCCTCCGGCATTCGTTGTGTTAATTTCCACCGTCCCCCAGCTGGTGGAAGCAGAGTGCACACACCTGCCTGGGCCTGAGATAAAATCTGAACAGTAGCTTCCTCTTCCTTTTTCCCTCTTCCTCTCACTAAGCCCTGCCGCCTGTCCCTTTCCTCCGAGTGTGGTTACATCCTGAGATACTAGGGATTCGGAGTTTAGCATGTGATTTTGATGACAATTCAGCCCATAACCCCAACCCAGAGGTGACCTCCCCAAGGAGAAAAGCTTGCCTGTGGCAGTACTGACGCTGGATCTTCCCCACCCCTCCCTTCTCTAACCCCAGGGCCCCGGGATGGCCACCAGCAGAGCAGCGGACACAGCTTTTCTCCTGGATCGGGTCTGCATCTCCGCGCCCTCCTCTAACAAGCTCTTAATCAAGGATCTGAGCCTAAAGATCTCCGAGGGGCAGAGCCTGCTCATCACCGGCAACACGGGCACCGGCAAGACCTCCTTGCTCCGCGTGCTGGGTGGCCTCTGGGCGAGCACACGGGGTGAGAACCAGCCTCCAGCCCTGAGCCAGCCTTGGCTTGGCGGTGTGTGTGTGTGTGTGTGTGTGTGTGTGTGTGAAATCCAGCCTTTTTTGTTGGGGCAAAGGGGTGAGAAGCCGTTACCTTCCCTGGGAGATCTCTTAATGGAGGTTTCATGGGCTCTGCAGGCTCAATGCAGATGCTGGTGGACTTTGGACCCCATGGGGTGCTGTTCCTGCCACAGAAGCCATTCTTCACCGACGGCACCCTTCGGGAGCAGGTCATCCCGGGGCCCACTCCCCCCTGCCCCCCCCCCAACTGGGACCTCTGGCAGTGTGCAGGCCTCAGCCCTAGGGAGCTGTGGCACAGAAGGTGGGGTAATAAAATGGCCTGTGCCCAGGAGCTCCCTGGCTCTAAGAATACAGGGGTGGCCAAAAGTAGGTCTACTGTTGTGTCGGTTTTCAGTTGTAATACACATAATACATACAGTGATTAATGACTACTAATACAAGAATAAACCCCATGTTTCATGTACTCACAACTGTAAACCTATGTTGCCCTCCCCTGTATTTTATTCACATCCATGAGCTGAGCCATGTGCTCAGAGCACCTCCGGGACAGGTTAACCTGTGGGGGCTGCGACCGAAAGAGCACAGCGTCTGTTGAACACCAGGGGCTTCTGGGGGCCCTGCCCTCAGGAAACACACAGACTCTTCCCTCCTCCTGGAGATTGCCCTGGCCCACTGTCCACCCGCCTGGCCTCTCCCACTGGACCCTTGGCCAGGGTGTCCCTTACTCTCCTCGGGTGGATAGGAGCCTGGGCGGTTCCTGGGGCTGATTCTGAGGGAGGGTGGGCTGTGTGCAGCCCAGTGTGGCCTGGTCCTAGGCCAGTGTGCTTTCTGTTTTATCAGGTGATATACCCCCTGAAGGAGATCTACCCGGACTCAGGTGAGCTGGCCTCCTCGGGGCCTGTTCTCCCATTTCAGTCGTTCCTGCTTTTCTGACTGCGGCCTCACCCGTGCCCTCTGGGAGAGGCCCCAGCCGGGCTGCGGGGTTCAGGTTGGGTCTCCTCCTCCTCGACTGTTTACTCCTGGGGCCTGTGCCCTGACCTCATCGCGCCCGTCTTCCCCTCCAGGAGGAGAGAACCCACTGGAGGAAGGGAGGTGATTGCTTCCTTCGCCTGAACCTTTCCTTCCTAGGCCTGTAGCCTGGCCCTCCAGAGCCTCAGCCCAGATCCTGGTCCCCCTCCCTGCCCCTTGCCATGACGTGCCCCGTCTATCCTGGCTGCCCAGGAGGAGCTGACTTCTGAAGGAGGCCTGTCTGTTTTGCAGGTTCTACTGATGATGAGAGGATCATGAGGTTCTTGGAGTTGGCAGGCCTGGTAAGTGAGGGCAGGACCCTGAGGTCCAAGACCGCCTGGTAGCACTGATCACTAGCCCAGGACTCGAAGTATGAGCCTGGGGCAAGGAGGATGGGAGTAAAAGTGGCTGAGGGAACTGTGGGCCAGATAATGGGCAAAACGGGGGCACACTCAGTAGTGAATTTTAAAATAATAATAAAACTATTATTTCTTGTCACCATGCTCCCACACGTCTAAACAATGTAGTTGATAGGATATTCCTCTCTGCCCGGGGCAGACTGCCCCCACCTTGGTACGCCAGTGGGGTATGGTCTGTCTCCGGCACGTGTGTGGAGGGGACTGAGGGGGTTCCTCAGGGAGCAGGATGGGCACTTTCATGGACATCGCTTCCTCTGGGTGTGTTACAGTCCGACTTGGTGGCAAGGACAGAGGGGCTGGACCACCAGGTCGATTGGAACTGGTAAGAAGGGGGTTGGGATGCTCCAGAGCCATTTCCCCCAAAGACAGTGGGTTCTAGGGGTCCACTGAAGGGATAAAATGGCTCCTTGACCCCAAAGTCTAGGTTTCATGCCTTTGGGAGCAGAGTTTTAGCCTCACCTTGTGTGGGCAGCAGGGCTGTGATTGAAAGGGGAGGTGACGTCCATCTGTCCTGGGCCTGCCTCTCTGTAGCAAGAACCTCTTCCTGCCTAGACCCAATCTAGGCAAAGGCCAGACTGTATACTCCTTCCTCCAGTGGTCCTCTCGTTCCCTGTCCTCAGGTATGACGTTCTGTCCCCCGGAGAGATGCAGAGGCTGTCTTTTGCCCGGCTCTTCTACCTGCAGCCGAAGTACGCAGGTGAGGTCTGCCCTGTAAGTGTGCATGCGGTGCTGTGTGTGCCCACGGGTAGCAGCGTGTGTTCGTGCACACCTGGGCAGGGTTGGTATCGTAGGAGAGCTCGCCTGTATGTGGTGGGCATGTCTGTCCCTGCAGGAGAGGATGGCAGGTCTCTGCCCATGAGGCAGCAGTGCTTGCATCAGAGTGGCTCTGGATGTGTGCTTTCTGCCATCGCTGCAGCTGGAGCTGCCTTGAGAGAGCTTGTGATTTATGCTCTGCCAACCATGAGTGGGCATCCCCCCAGCTGTGCCTGGCAGAGGGATGGCAGGTGTGGATTTTTCCAAGGACTGACATCCTGTGGGGAAGCAGGATTCCCTGGATCCAGTGGTCCCAGGCCATGTCTGGCGCTGATCTATAGGAAGCTGAGGGGCTTTGTCCTTCTGCTGGCTGAACACTTTTGAGATGGAGCTTGGCCGCTGCTCGGTTGGCCCATCCTCTCTAAGGCTGGTTCCCATAAGCCAGAGCAGTTTTCAGCCTCCCTCTGGGTCCCCGCCGGAGGTGACTGTGGGTTGAAGGAGAAACAGGCGGGCAGGGGCAGTTCTCCATCTCTTGCCACCGGGTTCTGCCCTCAGTGCTTGATGAAGCCACCAGTGCCCTGACTGAGGAGGTGGAGAGTGAACTCTACCGCATCGGCCAGCAGCTAGGCATCACGTTCATCAGCGTGGGACATCGGCGCAGCCTCGAGAAGGTACCTGTGCTCACAGGATGGTTGAGAAGGAGGAAGAACCCAAAGGCTGAGCCTGACTGGGGCCGGAGGCCCCTCAAAATGGGGGATGGGGTGGCAGAGGACAGGGCGTCAATGGCCTCATGTTGTGATGCCAGGGCAGCCTGACCTCTGCATGGTGGTGATCTCTTGTAGTTTCACTCCTGGGTTCTGAAACTCTGCGGAGAAGGACGGTGGGAACTGACCAGAATCAAAGTGGACTGAAGCCAAGGATGTGGCTGGCCACTGAAAGGAGAGCCAAGCTCGGGGCGTGGCAGTGCCCAGGAGACACCCAAAGGCCCCAGGTTCGTCTCACAGGTTCTTTGCAGGGAGCGCTGGCAGTAGTGGCCCACCTAGGTGTGGCCTCCATGGGGTGCTAGTCCTGCCAGGCTTCCTGCTACCTCAGCCAGGGTGCCAGACATTTGAAGTGCTAATTATTTCCTTACAAATTACTTCAGATTTGTTTTCTAAAGAAAAACCTAAAAGTGAGGACTCTATAAGCAATGAAGGATCAATGTGGAGAGAATGTTGGACTTGGAGTCAAGAGATTCAGAAATCTTTTTAATTGGTTAAATTATACAACAACAGGTTTTTAACTTGAATCAGCTATTTAAATTTTGTAACTTCTTTTTTTATATAAAATATAAACATTAAAAATATTTACAACTTTCCCTCTTTCTCTTTCTTCTCTATTATAAGATGATCTTTTTAACTGAATTTCCAGACTTGTATTTGAGAGCCTAGAGAGAAGGGAGCAGCATTCTCCACCACACTGGCATCTTCTGTTCTTGGCTTTTCACTTTATTCCGTATCACCCCTTTTCCATTTGCCAAGTGTTCCTGAGGCACTAACCTTTGGGGCACTTTCTGTTGTTCGTTTGTTTGGTTGGTTTGATTTTTGTCTTATCCCTCAAAAAAATAAGGTTGAGATTTTTTTAAAAACTGTGTTAGGGAACAACAACAACCAGTTGAACAGAAAAAACCCTGGAATCACAAAAGCATGAGATGGACAATTTTTAAACCCAAAATCCTTATTCTAGAACAATATTCTATTCCCCAAAATTCACTTGTCAGATTGTAACCTTCATGATTCTTGCCAGAACGCTGTACTTGTTTTTTTTTTTTAGTTTTTAAAAAAATATGTATTTTTATTGATTCGGAGAGGAAGGAAGAAGAGGGAGAGAGAGAGAAATAATCAATGATGAGAGAGAATCATTGATCAGCTGCCTCCTGCATGCCCCCTTCTGGGGATCAAGCATACAACCGGGGCTTGTGCCCGACTGGGAATAGAACCATTACCTCCTGATTCATAAGTCAACACTCAACCACTGCCGGGCAACTTTGTACTTGTTGTACTGTTAATTACTTACGTTTTTTAAAAATTAGCTCAATTTTTACATTTAAATGTATTTTTTAAAGAAAGTTTACACTTGATGTAAATAGAAAGTAACTCTAAAAATGAATCCAATGAAAACCATAGTGTTATGAAATTGCAGCTCCATATGATGGTCTACGAAGACTGAGCCTAGGCCTGAGTCTTGCCCTCTGTATGAAAGGAGTTTAAGGGATATCATAGGAGTTAGACATACTAGCACCCAAATGAGATATTTCTCCTTCAGAAAATTTGAAAGATGGAGTGGGAACTAGGGTAGTAACTTTCTCAATATAAGACTTGAGGTTCTTTAGCCCTGGCCGGTGTTTCTCAGTGGTTAAAGCTTCGGCCCACACACCAAAGGGTCGTGGGTTCGATTCCTGGTCAGGGGCACATACCTGGGTTGAGGTTCAATCCCTGGCTCTGGTCAGAGTGCATGCAGGAGGTATCCAGTGATGACAATCTCACGTGGATGTTTCTCTTTCTGTCTCCTTCTCCTCTCTTCCCCTCCCTCCCTCCCCTCCACTTTCTCTAAAAATCAATGGGGAGGGGAAAAAAGAGACAAGGTTATTTAATGCCTTATTGGTACCACTGAAATGATCCTAGATGTGGGTTGGGAGTCCAAGACTTGGGGACATGCAGCCCTGGGTAACTGAAGTCTCACCCTCCTGGCTTGACTAGCATGTAGGCCTTGGCACTGTTCTTACTCAGCTCCACCCTACAGTGTGTTCAAACCGACAGGTCAGAGAGCGTGACTGTGTGTGTTAGGGACTCTAGAAAGGCACATACATGGCCACAAAGGGATGCATGCTCAGAAAAGACCTGAGAATGACCTAAGCTTTCACCTTTGCGTGGGCTCTATCCAAGCAGACTGAGGCAGAGTTATAAACAGCCTGGCGAAGTGTTAAAGGAGTGCCCCAGCACAGAGCTAGTCTGTAAAGACTGGGAGATGTGTTTTCTTCTGTTTGTTTTCAGTTCCTGCTATTCAAGGAAATCTTTGTCAAAATACTAGCTGAACAGATTTCAAGTGACTACATGTGACAGGGATGATAAGTCTTTGCTAAAATAGTTTTGGAATGTGTCCAAATGAACAGATGACTGTAATCAAAACAAACAAAAAACAGCATACCCTGGGGGAGGGGAAGAAGCTGATTTTCATAGTTACCATATTATAATATGTAAATGTCCAGTTTTCAACAAACAAAACCCACTCAAAGGGAAAAAGATTGACAGAAACTGTTCCTGAGGAAGCCCAGATGTTTGACTTACTAGACAAAGACTTTAAATCAACTGTCTTAAATATGCTCAAATAGCTAAAGGAAACCCTAGAGCTGGTTCTAGCTCTGGCTCTGGTGCTAGAGCTGGCAACTAGCTGTGGACCTAGCACTGGCTTTAGTGCTGGATTTGGTGCTACCGGCACTTCTAACTCGAACTGGCATTGGCCAAAAATCTATAACTGGCACAGGTTCTGGAGCTGGAAGTATAGCTGGGTGTGACCCTGTAGCTGGTTGCTAGAGATGTCCAAGAACAGGCTCTACCTCTGAAGCAAGCTCTAGCCCTCACTGGTTGTTAGAGCTGGGGCTGAGCTGGTACTTATCATTGGCTCTATCATTGGATCTGGCTTTGGAGCTATTGCTATGGCTAGTGTTGGTATTGGCTCTAGTTCTGGAGTTGGCTCTAGTCCTAGAGCTTGTGATACTAGAGCTGCTTCTAGTGCTGAAGCTGACACTCTGTATGGCTCTAGCTTGAGGGTAGGGGCTAGAGCTAGCCTGGATCTAGCTCTTGCTCTGGAGCTGGCATTAGCTCTAGCTCCAGAGCTGGTGCTAGAGTAGGTGCAATACCTGTTTTTAGCTCTAGAGCTAGAACTAGGGCTGATGCTGGTGCAGCTCTAGCTTTGGTATTGATGAGTTCTGAAAATGGCACTATAGAGCTGGCACTGAAGTTGAATGTAGCTCTGTAGCAGGCTCTAGAGCTGGTGATAGAGCTAGCACTGGAGCTGGGCTTAGGCTAGGGCTGGCTATAGCTATGAAGCTGGTTCTGGAGCTTGTTCTAGCTCTAGAGTTGGCTCTGGCTGTAGGTCTACAGTTGGAGCTGGTGTAAGCTGGCACTGGAGCTGGCTCTGGAGAAGTTGGACACAGCACTCCAGGTCCAACCCAGGCAGGTTGGGGTACATGAAGGCCATCAGCTGTTTCAGGCAGAGAAAGTGTGGAGGCTGAAAGGAATTTTCCAAGAACTGGTCCAACCAGATGCCTAGGATGAAAAAGATGGCCCTGGGGGTAGATAGGCAGGGAGCAGAGTCAGAGCCCTGGCTTTTCTTTCCACACTGCCTCCCTTAGCACCTCTGCAGAGGGTTGGACTGGCACTGCCCATTCAGGGACCAGCCCCATTCCATCCCCAAACCTACTCTGGCTGTCCAGGCAGTAGCAAGCCTGGTCACCAAGGAGGAGGAACCAAAGTTCCTCCATCCTAAGGTGCTCTCCATAATGTCTGACAATTCTCCCCTCGGAAGAGCCTGGCATCTGCTTCCCCTGGCCCCCTTGCTCACTGGAGTGTAAACTCCGTGAGGGCAGGCAGGCCTGTGTCTGTGTGTGCACAGTGCTGGCACACAGTAACTATCTAATGGAGAAGGGACAGTCTGTCCTGCCCCAGCCTTCCCGGGGCCCTCAGGTCACTTTAGTCTGTAGTGTGTGCGCCAAGGTGCGGCCGCACTCCCTGCTCACCATTTGTGATCACATCTTCCCATTGACACTCGTTCCAAAGGGCAGGGGCGCAGCCCTTCCTGGGCCGTTGTGCAGCTGAACATGCACAACCGAGGTTCAGAGCTGATTTGTGAGCAGTCAGCTCACCGTACCTCCTGTTGAAGGGGGAGGGAAGATAAGCAGAGCTGTGCAGGGGATGTACTGGGTCTGTCTGATACTTCCTCATGATAAGGGTTAGGTTATGCAATCTAATCATGAGGAAATACCAGACAAACTCAAATGGATGACCTTGGGGGCAGCGGTATAGTGTCAGCAATAAAAATAAAGCTTTAAAAAACTAGCTTGAACTCTTCAAAGATGGCACGGTCATGGGAGGCAAGGAATGACTGGACTATTCCAGATCGGAGGAGACTACGGTGACTCAGCAACTAAATGGCTGCGTGGTCTTGGATTGGGTCCACCACTTAGAAAGGACATTATTGGAATGAGCAGCATTCTCTGGAGTAGATGAAAGCATTGAATCAATGTCAATGTCTTGATTTTATTGGTTGTATAGAAGTTATGTGGGCGAGTATCCTCATTTTAGGGAAAGATACACTGAAATATTAAGGAGTAATGGCACATCATGTCCTCAACTTGCTCTCTAATAGCTTAGAAAAGCAGTAATATCTATAAGGAGAATAATAAGGCAGTGTAGTAGCTGTTCATTTTAAAATTAAAAGATCACAACAATTCAAAATTAACAGTTAAAAAAAAAGTAACTACTAAAAGAGTAAGTCCTTCCCACTGCCACCTCAGCCATACCAGGTGGATGGCCTGCATGCCCTCAGGAGAACTTGGCATTCTTCCAGCCATATCTGGAACCAGCAGGAACAAAAGGCTAGAAGAAAAATTAACATTTTCCTGGTTTCTGAAGTTGAATGTAGCTCTAACCCGGCGGTTCTCAACCTGTGGGTCGCGACCCCTTTGGCGGTCGAACGACCCTTTCACAGGGGTCGCCTAAGACCATCCTGCATATCAGATATTTGCATTACGATTCATAACAGTAGCAACATTACAGTTATGAAGTAGCAACAAAAATAATTTTATGGTTGGGTCACAACATGAAGAACTGTATTGAAAGGGCCAGAAGCTTGAGAACCACTGCTCTAACCAAACATAATCACTCCTCAGGCCTCTGCTGCTTACTTGGCATTTCTGAATAAAGAGGACAGAACTGGAGAGGAAGGTGTCGGTGGTAGGAGGGGGTTGACAAGAACCAAGTGAAATAAATCCAAGCAGATAGCCTGATGTCAGAACTGGGGGAAGTATTCCCGCGGGGAGCTAGGTGGGCAGTGGAATGAGAGGTAATCATGTTATTCAGATTTTACAGCCCCTAATAGTTGGCAAAGAGCTTTGCAACTTCTGGGGAAATGGTGGGCTAGGCTGGTGAAAAAAATTCTCAGTAAGATCAGCTAGAGATGACTAGAATATAATTAAAACAAGGTTCCTCTATAACTGAACTAGGAAACCAGAAGGGCAATCCCAGGCATGAGAGCCAGAACGGTGATGGGAGTGACAACATTGGCGACTTGCATTTTTGTTTGTTTATTCCTCACCA